CCCACCCCCACCCTATGGGTCTGACGCTCCACTTATGGGTCCCAACGCTCCACTTATGGGTCCCACCCCCAACTTATGGGTCCCACCCCCACCCTATGGGTCTGATGCTCAACTTATGGGTCTGACGCTCCACTTATGGGTCCCAACGCTCCACTTATGGGTCTGACACCCAACTTATGGGTCCCACCCCCACCCTATGGGTCTGACTCTCAACCTATGGGTCTTAATGCCCCACTTATGGGTCTGACTCTCAACTTATGGGTCCCACCCCCACCCTATGGGTCTGACTCTCCACTTATGGGTCTGAATCTCCACTTATGGGTCCCACCCCCACCCTATGGGTCTGATGCTCCACCTATGGGTCCCAATGCTCCACTTATGGGTCTGACTCCCAACTTATGGGTCCCACCCCCACCCTATGGGTCTGACCCTCAACCTATGGGTCCCAATGCTCCACTTATGGGTCTGACTCCCAACTTATGGGTCCCACCCCCACCCTATGGGTCTGACTCTCAACTTATGGGTCTGAATCTCCACTTACGGGTCCCAATGCTCCACTTATGGGTCTGACACCCAACTTATGGGTCCCACCCCCACCCTATGGGTCTGACCCTCAACCTATGGGTCCCAATGCTCCACTTATGGGTCTGACGCCCAACTTGTGGGTCCCACCCCCACCGTACGGCTCTGACGCCGCCGTTCTCCCCACAGACGGCCGGACGCTGTGGCGGGAGGTTCGAGGCTGCGCCCGGGACCCGGACTGCACGCAGGTTTTTCGAGGCGACGGCGCCGTGGGGCTGCGGGGTTCGTGTTGCCACGGCGATTTTTGCAACCGGGATCTGCGCAACAAAACCTTTTTCTCCCCCGATTTGCCCCGCTTGGAGCTGCTGCCCCACAACCCCACGCCGCCGCCCCATAGCACCAAGATGGCGGCCACCGTTGGGTCCCAAACGGGAGCGGACGGCAACGAGACGGCGGCTTCCGGTCGCTCCGACGTGACGGCCGCCGTAGCTTCCGGTACGACGGCAGCCGTAGCTTCCGGCACGGCGGCCACCGTAGTTTCCGGCGTGGCGAATCGTACGGATTCCAAGATGGCGGCCTCCGCGGATCGCAAAGCGGCCGCCGACTCCGGCAAGATGGCGGCGCCCGGCGGCTCCAATGGGAAGAGGAGCGGGGCCGAGGTGGCCGCTCACGTGACCGCCGCCCTCCCCGGCGCGGCGGATATCCGCCCCGACGCGGGCAGCGAGCCCAAGATGGCGGATTCCCGTCCGGATGTGGGCGATGCCGGTTCCAACATGGCCGCCGTCGACCCTGAAAGATCACATCCGGGGTCGGGGCGCCCCGGGGGTTCATGGGAGCGGAAGTACGGGGTGAAGGAGGGGCCCATAGGGGGCGGGGGCTGCGCCATAGGGGGGGTGGGCTGGGTGCTGCCCCCCCTGCTGCTGCTGCTGCTCCTCCTGTGAGGGGAGACCCCCC